AGATTACTGAAATTCAAGTTCTTGTTCAAAGCCTAAATGTGTTTTCTGTGTCATTTTATGATATACGTGAAGCAGTTTGGACCTTGCTGACCTCCTTGTGCTGTTGCAGAGGCCATCTGTGCAGGTTCCCTGAGGGATGGGCTCTGCTGCAAACAGTTTGTTACACAGACCTCCCTCTCTATTTTAAAACCCTAGTGCCCTTTTTAAACAGGATAAAAGTGAAACCCTTTCCTATCAAATGTACACTATTTTACTGTTTTTCAACACAAGCTATTTACCACTTTCAAATTAGGTTTATTTTGTATATCCCAAATCTCTCTACTTTCTGAATCTGAAGCGGAGGAATATAACATGCTCTCTGCACACACCATATAGTCTCAGTAGGAATGCAATAACAGAGAAAAACTGGACTGTACTAGCATCAGATTAATGTTTCTTCTGAAATAATATGGTATTAATATTTCATCTCTTTCACTATAGCAATGTCCACCTCTCACAAAAGAAACATCACCACAAATGGCTTCTAGTTCCTGATTCTTGGGTACACCTTGCAAAAAAACCAAAATATTAAGTTCATAATAAATATACATTCTCATATGGGCAGTCAAGATTGAGATATTTCCTTATCACTTCTGCCAGAATCACAGCTCTGGATGTCAAGCGAAAAGCTTCTCCAGGGTTTGCCATCTATGCTGAGATTACTGTAACCTCTTCTGCATGGACATTGAGTTCCATTGTAAAGTGCTATCAATTTGGATCTATTCAAAGCCTTTAAATCCTATTTAAATTAATACAGATAGGTAATATTTCTCCTGAGGTGCATGTAAGACGCAGACAGAAAAGAATAAACACCCCTTTTTGGATTTAAAATACAGCACACACCAGTGTCCTCTTCTTGGGAGCTCAAGAAATTTTGAGACCATGTTGGAGTTATGCCAATGATCTTTTTTTTTCTCTCTTTTTGTTTATAATGCAAAAACACAGCAGACCTTTTTTAGTAATCACAAGAATAGAGAAACAAATCCATAGAATAATTATGTAAGCAAGCTGCTGACTTTGTAGAGGTGGACATCCTTAACCTCCATGGATGGATGGCCATAATGCATGTTTTCTTTTAGTGGAAGAAGGCTTCCCAGCTGGAATATTAATTTCTGAGAGAAAACGCAAGATACTTCTTTTTGTCCTCTCAGAGGAAAGGTTTATATGTTTACAACATGAGCAGGAAAATTGCTTTTCTGTGCTTTTCTAACATTAATTCAGTTATATGGCTATTTTAAAGAATACAAAACTGCAAATCAAGGGCGACTTAGAACACTCCTTTTGAAGAACAACACTTCTAAAATTTTGTAATTCTTGATTGAAAAAATATTGTTATGCTTTGTACTAAACCACTCAGACAGGATAAGATTTGAAATGACATTTTGTTTCAACTTCTGTATTCAATAAACAATAGCACCATGATCCAGCATCCACAGGTGGTATTACAGTGGTCTCTTCACTCCTTGTGCAACACTTAAATATTCTACATCTCCAACTACTCATATGGGAATAAGACGTGGACATCTGAGGGCCTTCTATACTAATGTTGATAAAGATTCAGGTTTTTTCTAACAGAGAAATAATTTATACCCTTAAAATAATATGAATGCTACATTCTTACTGACTCGAAAAACTAGGGTAACTACATATACAGCAAATTCTACCTTGCTTTTTTCCCATTTATCACCAAAATCTAGTGACATATCAATCTCATTGGGTTACTGTAATCTGGATGTAACAGGCAAATTTTTATATAAAAAATATTTCAATGTGATCAAACCAAATTTAAAATAGGCCTACATTAAATTAATAATAGGTTTATAGTGCACAATTGAAAATTAAGCAACTTCAACATTTTAATTTAAAACCTGTTAAATTAGTCCATTTATCTTATTTAAAGTGTACACTTTTTGCCTCCTGCAAGTACTGTATCAAATTATTTTGCAAACAAATAGGCTTTTTTTTTTTAAACTCTGGTGTCCAGTAGGAAAGTCAAAATTTTTCATTGATTTCAACATTCATGTTAAGGTTTTAGCAAGGAGTCTGAAATAACCATGTCTTTGCTGTTACCTTATAAGACAAGGTCTTTCCTTTCAGGTTCAGTGCTAGTTCTAGTGAAGTTTCAGGTTATATTCTTGCATTGTTATACTATTTTCCCCTTGGTTCAACCCCAAACAAAAATGTGCTCACATAGCCCTAACTGTGAGATTATGGATACACAAAAAACATGACAGTAAACATGTATTTAGAAATTGAGGTATTGGGATATTGAGAAATGTAACAAGATAAATGGTATGGTAACCTGTGAAGAAATACAACCCCTGAGGCCTGGAAAAACTCAAGATTTGCATTACTTCTATAGAGAAACTTTCAAGATCTCTCTATATTAGAGAATTTAAATCTCTACTCTAGCAGACCATTTAATGCAATATACAACGCGGGGATTTTTTATATTCCCTTGGCCGACATAAATACTAGTTTTAAATAAGAAGTTATGGTCATAACCTTTGGGTCCCAAGACAGATTCAGTCTTTTCTGGGAAACTATAAAGATGTAGTTTTGAAATTAACCTGCACCAAATTAACTGGGGTTTTAAAACCTTGGTTTTTATTGTCTCCACTGCTAACAGTCTTGATTTCATATGTAGAATACTAATATTTAAAACACAGAAAAATTTTTCTAGATTATACATGCCAAACTTTTTCCTCTCATATGAAATTTCATCACCCCTGCTGGGCTTGTTATATCTGACATTCAAATCCTCACTGAAGCTAATAAACCCTATATTATATTGATTAGGTTACTTATCTGCCTGAGAAATTTTTGGAGGCATAATTTCTACTCACCCTAATTGTTTTTCTTCCCTGATAAATGGATGTAAGCTGTGTTAAGGCGCTGGTAGACATTGAATTACATATCCATCAACCTGTATTGCTCAACTAATTTTTCCAACAAGCTTGGAAAGTATGCATTCCATTATTGCATAAAAAACCAGAAAGAGGATAGACTGAAGGATTCCTGTTTGAAATTAATAAAATTGAAAGTTTTTTAAAGAAGTTCCTTAAACCTGTGCCTACAGGAATAAAAAGAAGTATTTCAAGTGATCTGGTTTTTTATACATGCTGTTTTATTGAAATTATAACTTACCATCTTAAAGTGTGCCTTTTTCTGCCATTCTTATCATCTGACTGAGAATTCTTCTTTTTTAGAAAGTTATTCTTTATTGTAGCCTGTTTATACTCAGGTTTTACTTATTTTTCTTAGTCCTGACTTCACTGTTTGTAAAACTACACTTTTCCCATCTCCATTTAAATGGCTTCAAAAATGATAGGTGAGTCACAAAAGAAAAATCTTCCTAGGGCCAGTAAAATACTAGGCTGCACAAACCAGCTCCAATGTCCATGAGCCCTCAGTGGCTGGTAATGGGTGAAAAATGCCACAGGAAAAATGTCTGTCACCCTAGTTTTTCCAGTCTCACCAGTGTTAGAGTCTGTCACATAGACAGAGAACAGTGGGCCAGACCCAGACTTAGAACATTGCATCTGGTTTTATGCTGTTAAATATTTCTTTACCTGCTTTCTTTATTAATTGCTCATTCTTTCAGTTTCAGAGCTCCTGTACTCAGTACAGCATCTCTTCACCTCCCAGAGATGGCCAGCCTAGCACTTGATAGCTTGGGCATAGATATCCATTCAGTACAGATGTTCACTGTAGGAGGCCTTGTAGAGAGGCAGTAAGCTGAAGTCTTTCCTGTGCACATGAGAGGAGTTTGTTGCACTTGTGTTTCAGCAGGATGGGTAAAAAATTTGAAGTCAAGTGTGGCCACCTGTACTTTGATTAGAAACCAAAGTGGGTATCAGCACTTTTTTGGCAGCAGAACAAGGCCAGCATGAATAACATATACTTCTAATACTCTCATGATTCCTAATTAGCCATTAGCCCTGCATATCTATAGCCCTGAGAACTATCTTGAGTGATGGAGTGCTTCAAATTCAGGTTTTGTGCTTCTTTATGTTTCTTCTTCCTGCTTCTGCTCTTTCTCTGTAGAAGAAAAGAAGAAAACCAAACTGGCCAAAGAGCAAATGTGACATTTGAAGGTCTTTTTAAATGCTGCTACCTAGACAGTTTATAGGAAAGAATGAAAAACACATGTTTAAACTTCTCCATTTCTTGTGAAAATAATAAAAAAGTAAAATTATATGTCTTTTAAGACATGTTTGATTCAGTCTTGTGAATTTTGAACATAGCTATGATGATCTTGATATAATTCACTTTAAGTGAGAAGGCTTTTGCATTTTATTTTATATGCTTAGACCAAAGGCACACTTCCCATGATTAAACAAAATATCATTATACTTCCAACCCAAGCCATTCTGTGATTCTAGACATTTCTCTTAGGGCAACACTATGACACCAGTACATATAGGAATTTAATGAAACTCTTCCTCATGTAAGAAAGGCTTGGGGTTTAGGGTATGACGTGTAATTTGCCTTCAGCCAAAGGAGAGAATAAAGACAATTAGACCTCTTTTCTCATTGTTCATATTGTCTCAACCTAGAGTATTTAAGGGACCAGCAACTCTTGATGAAATGTGGCTCCTACACTTAGCTAGCATCCTATAAATGCCAGAAGATGGAGGTTTAAGAATGAGAATATAGTACATAAGGACAGCAAAAGTAATAAAAAAAACCAAGGCCAAAATTTAAGCAATTTGCAAATTAGGTATCCTAATCTATTGAATGCTTTCTTTGAGGGGAGAAAAAAATTATAAAATGACCTTTTTAAACAAGACCAGCAGAAATATAGAGACAAAGAATAAAGGATTTTCTTCTTAGTATTTCATGTCACTATCTCCACACTAACATAGTTTTAGCACCTGACTGAGTTGTGGGCTGCTCCAAAGCCAGTGATGTGGCATCTTGACAGCCCTTGGCTCTGACTAAGATTCTTCAGTGACTGTGACCCAGCTAAGCCTGGCAAGCAGCACTGAGTTTAATTTCACATGCCATGTATAGTGGAGGCTCTGTGAGTATTCTCTTTTCTAAGAATATTATTTTATTATTTGACATCATTTAGTATGTATAATGAGCAACAGGAACACAACATTAATAAGTAGGCATCTGTCATAATCTAAAAATTGTTACTGTATCTTCTGCAGTGCCCTGTTTTGTTTTCTTCAAGACGATATTTAAATCTAATAGTTGCAACTAATGGTTGTAAAAAGATGAATGTAAGTATTTTTGCTAGGACTGTGGAGAGGCAAAAGAAATGAAAGAAAGACAGACCATATGTGTAGTATATTTGTTGTTACAGCTTGCACTCATTAAAACCATGTTTGTCGTATTATACATCATTGTACTGTAGTTGTAGCAAATGTTCCTTGTAATTCACTTTCAAGTACAAAAATTGCCTCAGAAAAGAGCGTTTAGGATACTAATTCTATTGAAACCAATGAAGTGTTGACACATTGCCTGATGTGGATTTGTTTAAGGAGGCATATTTTAGGTTATAAAAGTACAGTCCTTAAGGCAAAAATCAGTGACTGCTTGGTATAGTGACTGAGGGAACACTGCAACAGTATGTTCAGCAAGAAACCCCTCATTAATCCTTTCCTGTAATTCTATCCTATTCACCTTCCCCCTTGCCTGATTCAATAGAATTTAAAACCTGCTGTCAGCACAGTAACTAACCCAGAACCCATTCATTATTCAGTTAAGGCATTTGGAATGTTTGCTGATTTGTTGATGAATGAGAACACAGTGTAAATCTGGACTGAGGAGAGGTTTTTTCCCTTGTCAGTTTAACTGCTCCTGTGTGATGTGTTCAAGTGTTAGGAATCATCAGGGGCTTTGACACTCTTGTCTGTTTGAACAGCCATAGCATTTCACTGCATCCAGCCCCCAAGGAAATCTAAATTGCAGCTGAGAGGAAATATGCATTGTTTACTAAAATCTGTTTATTTGCCTCAAACCAGACAACTATCACTATCAGCAAACTTCTGGTGCCAGAAGCGTCTTTCAGAATTAAACATAAAAAGTAGTCATCCTCCTGCCTTCTAAGAAAGGCTCCAATGTGACAGAATTAAGCACTGTAATGATTAGAGGAGTAGACAATTTAGTGTCTCAACTGCTGTTATGGGACTTGTGTTGAATGGACAAAAAAAGCAAATAGCAATTTGTGGAGTATTTACCTGGTACCTAGTAATTCCAGTCTCAGTGAATGACTTCTCTAGACTCAACAACCAGAAATCCAGTTGCAAGAAAGATGCTCAACTGGACTGTTAGAGAATGTATACATGTCAGTCATTTGCTTGACGTATTAGCACCATTTGGTGATGACATATCAGAAAGGCTGCAGGGGACACTTGGACATCTGTGATGAAGCTTGGAGGGCTGCTCCTTTTGGCAACACTATGACAGCTTCTTGCATGCATCCTGGCTCACAAGTAGCAATCTTTTTCATCTGATGGAGCCTCTTGCTGTTTGTTACTTTGCCATCAGCAATACAGAGTGGAGGGGGCAGGTAAGTTACCATTTATATTTTCAGTCAAATAAATAGTTCGTTCAAAGGAACTTTCCTCTCTTTGGCCCCACCATTTCGTTATTTTCCTTCACGAACATATCTAATTTTTTTTAAATACAACTCTCTCACTCTGAAATCCTGTCTTTACACTGTGTATAACATTACCAGCATTGTTCCTTACTTACAATGATGTTCACACACACATACCACACAGCCCCAGCCTGCATTGTCCAGCATCAATCGCTCATACAAACCATGCAGCACCGAGACAAGCCAACAAATGCCATCTGCCAATTGACCAAATAAATCATGGGGGTAATTTTTCACATCTCAGGGGAACTTCTCCCAGGCTGAATGTGACCCAAAATCTTAAAGTCCTCTCCATATCAGGCTTCAAGATTGGTAGTGCTGCATTTCCTTTCACCTCACCTGCCCTGAAGTGTGTGTTTTGCACTGCAGGGGTGCTTGTCCCTATTGAGCCTAGGGTTCTGATGCTGCTTTTATAAATCCCACCCTCTCAGGAAACTGCAAAAGAAATTGCTGATAAGTCTGTTGAGCTAATGCCTTTCTAACTTCCAGTATAAAAGAGGCAGTACCTGCATTAATTATTTTCTAGGACCACGCTAAGGAGTTTTTGCACTGCAGTTTGGGGTTTCACATTGATCCAGTTGATATAGCTTCGATCAATTTGACCCACTACTGCAGTTGTTCTCCTTTGATCTAGAGCAGTTTGTAATTTGACCCATTTAGATGACTCTCTTATAATAGCCCTAGCAAGACAAAACCAAATCAACTCCATTTATCTTAATGGGCTTTTTTCAGACATGAGGCCTTGCCAATCTCTGATGGGCTTTGAAATGCCATCTGGTGTTTAAAGTTATTGTGCTCTGTTCTTATAGTGCCTGTGCTGAATCATATCTTAAAAGTTCAACAAGCATTCACTCACAGCCACCATTCAATACCATTGTGTCATTATCAAAGATTTGGATTTATTGAACACAGCCTGCAAACAAAGTATATTTTACAGACCCTTCTCCCTGAGGCTCTGCTGACAGAAATCTTCAAGTATGAAACCTATGTGCCTTACATCTTTAGCTGCCATTCAGACACACAACAATCCTCTTTAACCTCCAAAATTATTTTTGAGACCTAATCGTATATGTTAGAAGAAAAGGAAAGGCTTTTATTAGGGTTGTGTTAATTTCCTAGAGGCTGAGTTTTTCAGATCCTACCTATTTAGATATAATTAAACTAGATTTCCAACACTCTGCACCTCTCCTTTTGAAATGATGCTTCAGATGTTTTCAATACTTCTCCATTCATTATTTCAATGACATTAAAAAAATACAAACATGTTTCCTTTTCTTACTGAAAAAGCTTGTATTACACATAGAAAGCAGAAAAACAGCTCTCTCCCCCTCCCAAACGAGATTGTTCACCAACAGACAGCCTACATCTGATAGCTTGCTAGAATAAGTGTCTTTAAATACTCTCCTCTGCTCCTTCCTGCCTTTTTATATATTACTACTATTCTTATTCTCTGGACAGAATCTTGACATCCTTGAAGCCAGCAGCACAATGCCCAGTGACTTCAATAGGGTCAGGATTTCACATTCCTTGTATTTAGTTTTTCACCCTGTTTACTCTGAACTCCATTTTGTATTGCTTTTAATTATGGGGAGTGGGGTTGTATTTGTGGCTTGTGTCTGCTCCTTTCTTTTTTTCTTCCACTTCACCCATTTTTACTGAAGCACAATGTGAACCAAAGGACTTCCTGGATGAACTTTCAACCTGCCATTTCAAAGTCATTTCACGATAAAACCCCAAACTTCTAATTCCTATTTTTAACAAAAATATATACTTATCTTGTTTCTGTCTTTGTATACATGGTCTCCCTACAATTATATTTTTCCATGTAAATAGACATACATGCATATTACTAATTTTTTCTTTAAATTAGAATATAATTAATCAAGCAAATAGGTTTTTTTTCATATTTAGTTAACTTAATAAAATTACAAATGTTAAAGATCCTTTATATTCATTGTCAATTTTTCCTTTAAAGATACTTTAATTCCTGATCTTAGAGCTTATAGAAAAACAATGTAGTACTCTCTTTGCATTTAGTAATACAAACATAATACTGTTAATAATGTTTGGAATGCTTTTGTATGAAACACAACTATGGAGCATTTTTTGCATAATATTCATGAACTATTTACCCTGAAATGCATTTTTGTTTTTATACCTCAGCGAACAGCTCTGTTTGAGTTAATGATCCATCATTGACTCATTGTGTATACAGAGAGAAGATCTGCCTTTGATTGTTGTTTTAATAAACTGGAAGTCTGCCAATGTTCTCTGGTAACAGGAAGAGCATTAATGATACTACTGTGAAGCTTGTCCTTGTTTGGTCTTATACTAAATTTAACCCTCACTGATCCTTTTTTCATACTGAAATGGCTGTTCAGGCTAGTCAAAAAGCACAGAGTAGTAATTGCTGTGGTTTTAAAGCAAGAAAATATTACAAGTGCCAAATGCAGCACATTTTAAATTCTTCTTATAGCACTTAGAGGACAGTGATTAATGAGTTTGTTATCTATCAAAAACCTTCAGTTTGTGTTATCTATCAAAATGCTTCTCTCTTGCTGCCTCTTGCAGAACAGGATTTATAGTAAAGAGAAACCTGCCATTCATAGACGGTATCTAAATTTATCAACTCCACACATTCATGCAAATAGTGGTAAATGATTGATCTGTAGCTATCTGGAGATTTAAAACAACAACAACAACAATTACAGCAACAACAAACTAACCCAAACAGAAAATAAGAGAAAAGAGAGACATTTTGAACTGCCAAAGCAGTGATCTTAAAAAAGAAATGAAGTTATTTCCTTCCAGCAGCCAGAGCAACAGAGTGTTCTCTTCATGCCACCAATTTCCTATTAAAACTAAAATAAGAAATTGCTAGTGATCAAGAGAATTGTTAGCAATGCTCAGTAATATTTCTGATTGTTTTATTCTGTACTTCTCTAGAAGTAATCTGCAACATATCTGATAAGGGCCATAGATTTTTATACAGAGAACTCATAATTGCTTTGTTTTGTTCTCTAGCTCTTAAGCATTCACAGAGAAAACCGCCGGCACCTTGCATAAAGTACACTTCTCTCCATCTGTCAAGCAGGGAATTCTCTGTATGAGAGCAGCAAATGCAGAAAGGGGAGAGGAACATATGGCCTGTCTTAGTCCACCCACCCCTCCCCCTGTTACCTTGTGATTGCTCTCTCTCATGCATTTACATTTTTAAATCAATTCGTATAATGGTTTACCAACCACAGTACACTAGCCAGGCATTGCAGACATACCAGTTTCTGCCATGTAGTGTGTATTACTTTATGGTGTTTGCCCAAAAGGATGTGAACTGCTTTATGTCTCCCTATCTGGCAGGGAAACCATCAGGCTTATTTCTTTTGTTTCACAGTTATTTCAAACTTTGTGCATTTGACATTTTTCAGAGCATGAAACAGGTACAATAGATTTTTGAGCCCCTATATTATGTCCATGAGACTTCTGAGGTAAGAACATGTGGTTTTCACAAAAATGCTTTTGTCACTTGCTATTATAGCTGTTCAGTTTCCCATTCATGCAAAAAGCTGGCTAGCATATCACGCTGTAAAGTCAGGTTTATCAATGATCAGCAGCAGTGACTCAGTAAATTTATGTCTTCTTTGCCATGCTGTACTCACATCATAGCCAAGTTATCACCAAGTTATCAACCAACACTCACAAAAATTTTGATATTGAATAAAAAACTTCGGGTGTTTTTTGTTTTTATTTTGTTGTTGTTGTTGTTGTTGGTTTTTTGGTGGGTTTTTTTGCTACACTAAGCACGGACAAAAGAAACAGCTGTCTTCAGAAGACAAAAATGTGTTTCTGTTTTCCAGGATTATTGGATGTAATTGAATTCACTGAAATTATGTCCTCTGGCATAATTCCAAGCACCCATTGGTACAGATGCTTCAGCAATTTTTAAAGCCAGTGTGAGTTCAATATTTGAGTTTCTACACAATTAAGGCTCAGAGTGACCACCAGAAACTTCATGTCTTTTAAACTATTCACTCTTTTTTTAGTTGAATTAAGCAATTATGTTAGTAAAATCTGTTCTCTTTCATGTAGACCACAAAGCTTGTGGAAGGTAATGGAAAAAACTTTCTGACTCAAATCCTAGGTGTGCCACCCAAGGGCGATGCACTCCTGAATGTGCTGCTCACTGACAGGAAGGAACTGGTTGGTGCTTTTTTCTTAAGGGCTTTTGGGAGGTAAGGTGATTATTTATTTATTTTTTTTAATTACATATTTAAAATAACTTGGCATATTTTCTTGTGGAAACATTAAATTGCTTAGCTATGGCAACAAAGTCATCAAATGTAAGCAATTGATCAAGCATGAAAAGAAAGGGAGAATGGCAATATTTATTCATGTACTTTTCAATCCTGACCATTCTATGATCTTGAAAAAATCTGAAAAACAAAAGCTGAAGCAACAAGAGATTTTGTTCAATCTATCTGTATTAGTTAGTGAAAGTTGACGTACAAAGTGCCCTAATGGGTGTAATTAAGTCTAACTAGTCTTGGCTATTTTCTCAAAAGTCTCACATGAACAGTGACATAACTAGATAAACTTGTTTTGTAAGGTGAAAGCTAAAAAAGTTCAGAGAGATGAATTATACTATGATAGCAATATTTTTGATGAAGTAGATTTATGTGCTGTTGCTATTCTCTCCCATGCCCTGGCCACACTCCCTTCCAGCATCCCTTCTCCTCCACTTTTCATACTCTGTCATTATCAAATGCCTCCATCTTGTTTAAATAATATGGTTCTTAATCCTTGTTTACTGTTGGGAATGTAAGGTTATTGAAATTACAACTAGAAAGATATGAAAGTATATATGCATATGTATTCAAAACCATTAACTTTAGACCTACTCACCCAATTAACTGAATTGGAAGCTGTTAAAAAGGTCAAACTTTTGCTCAAAAACTTTGACCAAATTAACAATAGTAGACCTAATATATTAGAAATTATGCATATAATGCTACTAAATTTTCTTTTGTTAGGGCTACATAATACCTAAAATGTAGAGGATATATATAAGGGATCTTTCCTGATTAGGTGTGTGTCTAGATCTTATAGATTAATTTTAAATTGGTTATTTAATTGTCTACCTAACGGGTAGGTAAAGAACAGGAAAACAAGAATAAGTTTGGATATGTTTGACTAAATACCATGGGGTGTCTGGCAAATAATGTGGAATAGAACTCTTTGGTTTCTGTGGTCCCTCATGGGGGAATATTCATTTGTCTTGTGAGAAGGAAATGAAGTTTGCTGCTAGACAAAGCTGTTATTCCAGGACTGTGAGGATGTGGAGCATCAGAAATTGTTCCAAAATTGTAAAGGCAGGGGGGTGAATTTTCCTTCCTTTTGAGCCTGTTGCAGAAATGACATGATATCACAAGAAGCTTGAGTTTAGACCCTGAACATTATAAAGGGCAGGATGGAAATTGAAAAATCCAATAACATGGTCAGAAGAGTCAAAGGAAAAAAAAACCTCCTCCCTTCTAAGATGGAATCAATAAAACATCTGAACTACACAACAGAGATGAAGGTTGCTTTTAATCATATATTAGCTAAAATGGGTTCTGCTTTATGCTAAGTTTCATACTTGTGACTTCCATTTTTATGCAGCATATACTTTTAAATAAACATGAAAAAGCAATGAAAAATAGAGTACATTTTGTTTGGAAAAGCAGATTCTGTGAATTTTTTGTTTTGCAAATAAAAGGAAAGCTCAATAGCAGGTTGCAAACTGCTTTTTGAAAACCTGTAAGGCCACAATTTATACACACACCAAAATATTTCACACCATTAGCAATAAGGAGATTCTAGAGGTTCCATCAAAACTAGTGATCCGAGTGATACAGCAACATAAAAAAATGGATGCTGTGCTGAACCTCATACACACCAACAGGAAGAGAGTCCTTGGGGCTGTGAAGGTCAAAGGTGATGACCATAACATGGGGGGGAGTTCAGGATCCTGAGAAGAGGGAATATTAAAAGTCAAAACATTCAAGGTCAGTTTAAATGGCATTGTAAATAACCTGATCTAATTGAAGACATCCCTGTCCATTGCAGGGGGTTTGTATTAGGTTTTCTCTGGGGGTCTCTTCCTACTCCAGTCATTCTGATATTTGATTCCATGGAAGGCCAGTGGAGACAGGCTACTTTTGGTGGTACCTAATGACAGAATAAGAAGCAATGGGCACAAAATCAAACACATCAGGTTTTCCTTTAACATCTCTCTTTAGATCTTCTCTCTTTAGGTAACAAAGTACAGGAGGAAGCTACCCACAGAAGTTGTGGGTTCTCTATCCTTAAAGATACTCCAAAGTTATCTGATATGGTCCTGGGCAACTGGCTCAAGGTGGCCCTGCTGGAGTGGAAAGGTTGAATCAAATAACTTTCAGAGGTACCTCCCAACTCTAAACATTCCATGATTCTATAAACGCACCAGCTGTAATTATTTTTTTTTTTCCAGAAGATTACTTATTTGCAAGTTAGTAAAGCTGATTTAATAGAAATAGATTGTTGGTGCCATTTACAAGTGACATACAACACTAGTTTTGCGAGCAGGTTTGGCAGTTTTGCTCCATATGTGTATGCAGCAAGCAGCAAAGATGCAATCAAGCATGGTATGAGAAAGACTTTTCCATTTATGACTTGCTATTTGTACTGAAATATTTCAAAATTCTAAATTCAAGCTAAATATGTAAGATATTTTAAATAATTGATAATGTACTTAAATAATTAATCACTGGAAAGATACTTTTTCAAAGAGAGGTGCAATCTATTTACATTCCACAGGGCTTGAGAAAAGATGGTGGTTGCCTTTGAATTACTAGAGTAATTGTCTCTTGCGACATGCAGAGAGGCTTCACAAAAGCAAATAGCATTAAAAGGTGCTTCCCACTGATTCAGTGTGAGTGAATAACATGGATCACCATGTCAGAAAGAGTTAAAACATATTTATTAGGGCATAGGCACTACAGATGCACCTCTCTTCTGCTGATTGAGCAAAGAATTAGCCATTGGGAAGATGGAAGGAAGACAGAAAGCCTTGTCTCACTTTACTTCCCCCATCCTCAGCTTGGAAACACTCCTGCTCATAAATGCTTTTACTATTTTTCATGTTCTCAAGTTGATGGCAAAGAGCTCAGGGGGACCTTACAGCTGTGATGGTGTTTGGGTTGCTCTGGGCTCCCTGGGGAGATGTAGCTAGGCACTCAGTGCTGGTGCCCAGATGAAAACAAAAAATGGAATTTCACTTTGCACCTAGCAAGACTTTTGAATCTTGAAATATGATTTCTCAGCAAGTAACCTCTGCAATATCAAAAGGACAAATAGGCTGGGGGTGTTTTAAGGCATAAGGGTTTGTGATGACAGATTTATTATCCCACACAGTTCTTGCCACAGCACAGTGAAATAATGCCTCTTAAAATTCATCCTACGCTAGTCATTTATGCATTTATTTCTTCCACCCAAAGGAATGCATCTGATAAACTACCACACTCACTGTAACTGAAGTGAAGATTGTCTTCAAATTCCTATTTCATCCAAGAAAATAAGGAAATAGGAGATCTGTGCAGGGCAGCTTTGGTTAAGTCAGATGTTTGTGACCCTTATACATTTACAAGTTTCTATTGATGCTCCACCATAGGATGAACTAATGCAGTCTGTGCGTAAAGTAACATTAAACTCAGAAATAAGTTTTCCCAGTTCAGGGCATGCATGTATTAAGCACCTAAACCTTTTGGTTACTTACTGGTTCCCTAAAGACCTGTTGAGGTAAAGAGCTTGCCAAAATGTTTTTCACCTCACCAATGATATGTAAAAACATAGAAATGTTCTCCTTTAGGCTAATTTTTATTCTGCTTTCACAATTTATTTCTGGAGCTGTTGGAGTTAATGGTCTACTTCCTTATTGTTCACTATTTTCAGAAACAGATCTGAATTAATTCACATAAATAAAAGAGCTTGCAGACTGATTTTTACATGAGTTCCAAAAGTCACATACACAAAAATGTTTGTGCAAAACAAAAGTACTGGAGACTGTTATTGTGACACGCATTCTATAACAATTTCTTATTTTAGTGATACTTCTCTTCTTTCACAGGCCCTTATGGAATGAACTTTCATTAAGAAATTATTAAAAATCTTAAGAAAGTATCTAATTTTTTGCTGTAGTAAAGTTCAGCAGGATTAAGACTTCTTTTATTTTATACTTTCTAGTAGGATTCTAAAATATCTTCAGTTTATACTAGCTATTCATTCAGCCATAACAGCAAGGAATTCACATACGAGCTTGCGTTAATTACTTCGGACTGCATTGGTTCTGGGTTTTGTTCACTATGTGGTTCACTTTATGTTGGCAATAACATTCAGCAAGATGAGCCAGAAGTACAGATTCATGGAAAATAAAAATTAAAGCTACATTCTTAATCTAAAGCAAAATCAAAACAAAACCCTAAGGAAAAAAAAAAAAAAAAACTATGATGGGGTTATATGAAATTCAGTTGTTTCAGATATTTTTATTGCTCTTCTGATGTTGAATGGTGGCTCTGTCCTGAAGAGACAAAAATCCTACTCACAAGGAGTTTCAAAACTATTTCTATCTTACTGGAAGTTTCTTTCACCATATTTCCCATAATTTGAAATACCCACTTCTGCATAATGGATACATGAATTAATTAATGTAGCCTTAAAGACACATTTGTATTTTGTAGAGAGTACACTATCAGTTGTCTTAGCAACAGACATGTTTCACATATTTGCTGTCTTTTATCGTGTGTTTTACAAGCAAGCTGAAGATGACTGCTTAAATAGAATGATCAGCTGCATTTTTCATCTTAAAACAGCTGGATTCCTTACAATGACAATAACAGCTGTGTTGAAGGTGCTGGACCTTGACTGTTGACCTGGTACAAGGATGATAGGTATGTTTTTAATCATCACTTGTCTTCTCCAGATGAATAGACTCTAAACTGATGTGTCAATATTATGTGCGATGAGGGCAGAATTGACTCTACCTTCTTTTAGTCTTACACTCCTAACAAAGAAACCACCTGATTTTGTCACTATTTTAGACAGTAACCATATATTCTTTGTCCATGCAAAGTACAAATTCAAAACTACTTCTGTTCATTAGAACAATTACTGTGTGATTGTGGGAACTTGGAAGTCTGATAAATTCCTGGTAATTGGGAAAGGAGGGGATCCTTCTCAAAGCCAGATGGGCAATGGAAGGCAACTTCCATGTCCTTTACCTATAAATATTCATGAAATTGTCTCACAAGGAGAGGCGAGTGGGGGGAGAAAAAGGTCCTCATAGTTTATAGGAATTACTTCGAAGCTTGAAAAAGATAGGCTCTGTTACACCATACCCCAGCACTCACGCACTTGAAAACAAAATTAGGATACAACATACAATTTCTGCAGCGTTCTGTTGGATGTTGTCTTGGTTTGAACAGACAGGAGTCTGTGAAGGAAGGCAAAAGCCTCCTGTGAAATGGAAAAGGTAAACCCCCTCTTTCTGAATTACTACAATTGAAAAAAAAAAAAAAAGCTCTCAGGCAAAGATATGGGAATGGGAATAACAGTTCTTTATTAGGAGAAAAACTAAATAATAATAATAATAAAAAAATGTAATTAATACAAGCAAAACTAGTGATGGAGTCAGAAACCTGACACCCTGAAGAGTCAGGGTATTGGTAGTAGTCCACTTAAAGTGGTGGCTGCTCCTCCTGGAGTGGCAGATGAAATGCTGCTGAAGTGGTAATCTCTAGAAGACTGCAGTTTTTTCTGACAGTCTAGTAGTAGTTGGGCCTGGTCTTCCTCTCGGAATTCAGCAGAGAAGAGAGCTGCTTCTCTGAGAATCCAGCGAAGCGGCTGCCAGTGTCTTAAAAAGTGCTGATTTTATGCAGGTAAGAATGCTTGGCTCCTCCCCTCTGGGTGGAGCATCTCACAATGGGAAGATGTAACTTTACCAGTCCTGCAGTGAGTCATTCAATAGTCTATTAACAAAAGATATTTCCCCAGAGGGAGACATTGTTCTTAGAAGAGATAAGAAAACTGCCTAACCTCCAACAGAAAGCAATAAAATACATGCTTATCTTACAAGCCAGGACAGATGCAATTCACAACACTCTAGAAACACTCTATAAATCCTGCCATTAAAGCCAGCTGGGATATAAGAGAGCAGCAGTTGTGAATGAGAATTCACCTTCAATAAGGCTAAAAAATTTTCAGGATTGTCTACAGGGTGTGCCTACATAAACCTAAACTTGTATGAAACCTCTCCATCCTATCTCTTTTCCATTTTCCATCTCAATAATACTGAAGTACTGAAAAATGGGTTGTTTAAAAAACAAAAACAAAAACAAAAACAAAAACAAAAACAAAAACAAAAACAAAAAAAAAAAAAAAAAAAAAAAAAAAAAAAGAATGGTGGGGAAGGGACAAAAATGCCAAAGAATGAAATAGAAAGGGTAACACAGAAAAAACTGCTCTGGACAGTCTACCTGTATTCTATATTCTATATTTTTCTGTCTAAACTTAGTCAATGCCAGAATATATTATGGCAAGTGAATTTGCATAAACTTCGATGTTGTCTGTAAAGGTACATCCCTATATAACAAAACAAAAAAAAAAAAATTCAAGTTGCTATTTGTTATTTCTAGATCAAAGATTTAGACCTTCTTGTGATTTTCAACTGTGTAAAATGATGTTAGAAAGAGATCGGTTTTTGTCGATGTGCATTTACAAACAAATTTAAAGCTGGTTTACTGAACCTCTAAGATCTACACATTTCAGCAGATGGTCTCTTGTGTGACAGTTTTCCCAGGAGAGTCCAGGTGCATTCTACTACAGTGTATAGTATCGAATGAACAACTGCTTTCATGGCTGAGTAAGTACTTTCTAAAAAGAAAGACTGCTTTTCTCTACAGATCTGATCTGTGTTTGTGAAATATGACACTACTATCAATTTCAGAAGAGAGAAAAACCCACAGAACCACACAAACTCAAACATGATGAACAGCAAGTCTTAATCATAGTCCTACTCCAAATCAGTAAAGCACTTCTGAACTGCAGTTGAACTGAGATTTTTCAGTTGAGGCACCAAACCCCATTTCCTCATTTCTATTATTTTCTTCTAGAGACAGGCTGTTTAGAAGGGTTTTTCTACCACTCACAATAACCTACTATTAAGAAACACAGGCTACAAATCTGTAAAGTTGGAGTGGAAATTTCAATGCCATGTTATGCCTTTTGGAAAGGAGTGAGGATGTATTTGGAGAGCTAGGGTGTAGCAATTAATGTAAATCAACAGTCTGGCATAACTAGCAAAGCGGTGTTACAGAACCTCTTCACTCTGTAGGTGATGATCTGGGGTGTTTCCAGAATTTCTTCAGAAGGGAGTAGATATATATATGTGTGTGTGTGTGTGTGTGTGTGTATATATATATATATATATATATATATATATATATATATATATATATACACATGTATGTCGTGTATGTATGTATGTACACACACACACACACACACACATATATATATATATATATATATGTATATGTACATACATACATACATGACATACATGTATATGAAAAGCTTGTCCTGGCACACATATTGTCAAACTCCCTGGGTAAGGGAGGTTTTAATTTAAAAAATAAAAATAAATTTTAAAAAATTTTAAAAAAGGAAAAAAAGCTACTGTTACTGCTATATAATATCTGAGTAAGAGTAATGGTTGTGCTATGAAGTAAGCATGTTAGCAATTATAAAAACCAAAGAGTAACTACCAGTGATGTGACGATGGGTTCTTCAAATTTATTATTGCCTTTTATCTGTGGACATAGCTGCATTTCTGAAGAAACTCACCAGATTTACAGAGAAGGGTGTTCTTCAAGTGCTACGTGCACACCATCTCTAAAACAACTGCAGATTTGTGAAGGTGCAAATATGAGATGGGTTGTGTATACTCTGTTGTGACTGAAATAGCCAAGCAGATTGTCTTCAGTTACACAGTGAACAAGTCTGCTGATTGGTATGGGGAAGCACAGCCCAGAACAAACTGAAAAGAGGGAAAGAAAAAATTGCCATCTGGAGACTGAGCAGCCTATCAGATAAGTGGAGAGCTATTGAGAAATACAGAGAGCTCTTGTAAAATTACCCCGCTTGGAAATCCGACTAAATAGCTAAATTCTCCCTTGTTCCTGTTCAGACAGGCTGAGCAGTTAGTTGTTTTAGAGATCTACAAAAGGCTTGTTTCTTTTGTTCTTGGTTTATTCCTTATGTTTAAACCAAACAATACTTAGCTTTGAAAAAGTTGATTAATCACAGCTGTTAAATACCATGTATTGAAGAAAGAAATACACCAAAGAACAGCTGAATAGTCGATTTCAAGGGAGAGCCTGACAAAATGGTACTCAGAAAGATCAGCAAGGGTCAAAGATGTAGCTAGGGCAGCTGGTGAGCAACTAAAGCTTTTCAGTAGGACTCAGAGTAAAACAAGGACTCTTGCTGGCAAAAATTCGCAAATAATTTTCATTTCATATCTTGTTTTTTCCTTCTTTTTATTTATTATTCTTTTTTTTTAAGTGTCACTGACTTGTGCATGCTTGAGCTGTGCATGCAGCTGACCACGTGAAAGATACGAAACCATGTAACTTCTCAAATCCAGTCAGAGGCTAAATGGGGCAGATTCAGAATGCACCCCAAATCAAACCATTAACTCCAACTTGTTGTAAAAAGTCTGCTGTAAACACAGAATCTTTCCTAGAGCTGAAGATGCCACACAGTGACAGTTTTGCTAAGCCAGTGGGTTCCTGGAGCTACGTTTTTACACTTTCTATTTTCTGAAAAATGTTTCACCAGCAATTTTCATGTGGGCTAAGAAGTGAACTCCAGTAAGGAGGAATCCTTTGACAAAGACAAGCTGCTTCCCTGGGGAGTTCTGCGGGCAGAGGGGAAGACCCTTATTTTTTTCAGAACTAATGTAACTATGATTTTGCCCATGTGTGTGTGAATATGTAGAATCCAAATGCTTGGCCTTTGAAAATAACCTCCCTTGCCTTGAAATCTATTTATGGTTCCTATATAAATAATATGAAGCCTCTTTACTTATAGATGACTCATAGTTATGTGCTGTAACTTGCATTTCTGTGACGATAAAGTGACTTTGTAGCTGTTGGCATACTGCAGAAAAGCTCTTTTATTAAAAAAAAATCTAAAATTGCAAATGTTCTGTATTGACTTCATCCTTTTTACCTTTGATTTATTTGGAGAATGAAATAATGAACCATGAACCTTTTAGCTAACTCTAATTTTGCCTCAGGAATTATTCTGTCCATCATAAATTAATGTTGTTATACTTTAGGCACAAATGTAGCTCTATCTATTTCAGCCTGTTTTACTGTCCTCCTTCACTACAAAAGAAAACAATACTGAGAATTTCTAGTTTTTACCCACTGTTTCTTCAGTCCATTTTGCATTTCTTGTTGCCCACAATGCTTACTCTCAAATCAGCAGTTGTGTTGCTTTATTGACAAACCACAGTTTACAGTAAATGTCATCCTAGGGTAACAATATCTGAAGCAGAGGTACTGTGTGACTAGGTAGGAGTTGTCACAGTGGATTATTCGTACCATACTTTCCAAAGCCTGCATGAATCCTGAAAAGACCAAACCAACAAGGAAGATGTTAATATTTTTTTTCCAGATATTTATCATCTAGCTATCATCTAGGCTGAAAAGAGGTAAATTAGCAAGGTTAATGACACTGTAAATTAATATTTTACTGCACAGAATGCCTTCAGAATTATACAATCACAAAGGTAATCTTCACAATTGTTCTTTTTAACTTACATTCTATCTGAATCTGTCTTTGTATATGCTTGTGCAATTTTATATACTATCTTTGTTTGATA